GACAGAAACAGGGTAACCACGTTTATCGAAAAACTGACACACTGACTCTGATTTGTGGTGGAAATCAGTCATCACTACATAAACGACGAAGTCTTAGAAACTGAGAAAAAGGAATGGAATTCTTAACGTGAGATGGATGCGAAGACGAATATAACAAGTAATTATGCAAGTCTGTAGGTTTGTAATACAAAGGGCTAACGCTCGAAACGTCAGCTTTTGTAATCGTTACGTTGGCTAATTTACCATTTCAACTTTGTTGATATATCCAAATTATTTCGTTACTCCCACCGACGCAGCGCCAAACAGTTTCTTTCGAAACTATCAACCTTTTTTCTCTCTTAACTTCCTGTCTAAAAAACTTGTATGCATTCCAACATAGGCGGTCGTTGGTTTTAATGGCTCTATTGTGCCACGTGTCACGTGTAGACTTGAATACTCGAATAAGTTTTAATTGCACGAAGATCTGGTTTGACTGTACAAAAGGAAACAAACGTAAACAAAACGAAGCGAAACGAAAATACTACAGTGACAACATACTTACAAGATTTGTGGACTCGCAGGAAACGTAAAGAAAACATTCATGAGAAAAATAACCAAACATCTAGGACCGAACTTTGACCTCTAGAGTTGCTAGTAGATGGTCCATACCACAATATCAACAATGCACATGACATAGATTTACCAGTCCCGCGCGGACTAAACACGGGAAACGTTTTGTAACTTACATCACGAGTTTTCGTTAGTTGTCGGATTTCTGAACATATCCTAAGGGCTGAGAGAAACTCATCTCAAAGCTCAGCGATGTTAAGAGCGATTTGAAGATCTTTCTTTGAAGGCAGGTACCAATATGGCCGTTCGCACGATTCGGCATTTCCATGAAGGCTTGTAATCTCGCACACAATAGTCGGAGATACGACGTAATCTAAAACTAGTGCTTATTTGATCGTATCCTAAGGGCTGAGAGAAACTCATCTCAAAGCCCAGCGATGTTAAGAGTAAATTACATTACATAAGTACATGTATTCCTGGAGTTCACAGTTTCTGGGTGTCACCGTAACTGTCTGGACAAAATACTTTTGTTCCATGGGAATAACAAAAAGTAGTCCTTTGTAAAAGTTTATCAGTATTCTGATTTTTTCCGAAGATGAAAAGCTGCGCAAACACGAGTCCTTGGTAATGTGTAGTAAGTAAAACACAATTCATAGAAATAAACAGGTTATTGATTTTCTTCGAAACCATGGCATACCACAGTTTCGCTAGGAAAAGCGTCGCACAACGGGCTTAAGGCATTGCATGACAAAGAGGAAAGATTTAAACTTTAAAGGGAATAAGAACAAGGGTAAACTGGCTGGAAGAGTACTGCTCGAAGACACCTTAAAACAATAAATATAGCCTTTCAAGAGATATTTTCATCCTGCTACAAAAGCTTAACTAAGAACATATGTGCTAAAATTTGTATTATGAACTTCTGAGTCACCAGTAAGCCGCTTTTGAAGCCCTAGCTCTCTCATTTCTTCGCTAGCCACGTTTAAACGTTTTCCTCAAAAGCGACGGCCTCTTCCTCGGTTGCACGTGGCTCTACTTCTTCGTCGCACGGAGCGCGATATATCCAATATTTCTCCTCAACACTAACAATGGACGTATACAAAACATGGACCGGGGTCCATGGACGTCCATGGACCACCCCTATGGACCTCGTCCATGGACCACCCCCAATGGACCCGGTCCATTGACCACCCCTATGGACCACCATACTGGAACTGAGTTTTGTCGTACACTTAATAAATAAATAAATAAATAAGTAAAAGGACTTCCTTTTACGCGGGGTAGTACAACAANTACATTTTACGAAAGCGCGGTACACATATATTATTTTCATATATTTACTGAGTCGTCGCCATCATTACGCATTCTAGTGTCTTAGTCAAAAATTGTCTTCAGTTTTTAAATGTCATCCTTTCGCGGGATTTCGCAATATTCGCGAGTTTCATAATTTGCCCGCTGACCAAAATTACTGTTTATTCTTACCCTCGACGATCGCCTTCGATATAGCGTCACCCTGTTTTGTATAAGTCCTAGCCTAAAGCGTGCAAAGTGAACTGGGAATTCAAGTTTTGGAAATCTTTGTCGTGACAATCGTTCTGCACTCCCCACCGGCTAAACTTCAGAATACCCGGCCACTGAAAAATCATTCATCAAATCCTGCTTCCACAGTAACGTAGTCGACATACTTTACCTAATATTGCATTACATTAAACATCGTAGTTAGTATTGAGGTTCGTCTCTCGATACGAACGGATGCCGACGATATTAAACACCACAAAATATTCCGCTTGCATCATACGCGTTGGTGTTCATCTTGTTCTTGCTTGCTACCGTAGTCCCGCAGTCGACATAAACGGTAACCTTTTAGAATACCCAACTGGCTAATTTTCTTGTATTTCACATCTTTTAAGCTTCCACATAGTTGATTACAATGCTTTATTTCAGGATATTTTGTAGGGCAGTCAATTACCTCATAAGTGGCAAAAATAACTTATTTCAAACCATACAATACTATGACCTTCATTAACAAAGGCGGCCCGCACCTTTACATCTCGGTTTCAATCATTTATATCACAACTTCCCTATTGCTTGCGTTTGATAGGGCTGTCAATTACCTCATAAGTGGCAAATATAACTTAGTTCAAACCATACAATACTATGAAGTTCACTAACAAAGGCGGGCCGCACTATTCCCTACTCGATCCATGCTAATTTCAGTAGATTATAATCGTTCTGGCCTTCAATATCAAAATGTACGCTGTATCCAAACTCAAAAAACAGCACGAACAGACATGGATCAACCTTCAGAAAAGGCTGAATTCGTTCCAGTTCCCGCACCACTAGCTATTTCCCAACGAAGATGTTTATCAATTTGTGAAGAATAAGGCCGTCTCCGTCGGAAGCTGCGAAGGATATTTTATTCCTTCGTTGCTAACAACTACGGGCTTCATACTGGCATCCAACAACGCTCAAGTTAACATCACCACACACAAGCAACCATTATACATATTTTCTATATTTGTGGGATACCCCGGAACGGGTAAGTTCAATTGGAATCTTTTTCACTTGCACTTTTACTTCTCGTAGTACCCTTGCCCTCAGCACGCCAATAGGTTTTCAGCACTTAATCTCGCTGTAGGTTCAATCAAAATCTAAAAGAGCTTCTATTATGAGGCTACCTATCAAATTTTTGTTACTTTTGTATCATAAAGGAAAATCTTCTGCTATCCAGTATGCAGCCCAGGATCCACTGGAAAATCTAGGCTTAACCGACGCCATAATAAGCAAAACCACCTCGTCGGGACTGGTAAAACTTCTTGCGAAGAAGAAGAAAGGAATGATTCTCTCTCCAGAGATCTTCGACATATTAAACAAGCTTCTTAAGTCCGATGAAGACAATGCTACCGGAGATATCCAGCTTCTCTGCAAATTATTTTCGGGCGAGCGCTGCTCATATCACTTCTCTACAGAGGAAAGCAGATTGATCCTTCCAAATACGCCCTTCTGTCTCCTTGGTTCCACGCAACTGGTAAATGCTGCCAAACTGATCGCACGCATGGATCAAGGACACGGCCTAGTGGATAGAATCCTTCTTGCCACCCCCCTTGCCTTTCGTCCAACCCTTATTGAAATGGAGGCAGCCACCGATTATTTATCCATTTGCCGGAAATAAAGAGCAAATTTTGTTGTTGGCCGTTGTTGTTTTCTAACGAAATGAGTGCGAAAAATATTAAATTCACGTCTTAATTATGCAACGTACCGCACGGAAATTCGCGTTAATTAAATGTATGTAAACATAACTTTTGGAAAATTCGCGTTAATTTTATGACGCGTAAATTTTGTTCGCGTTATTAACATGCTTCGTTATATTCCTATAATAAGGCATAGTTAGTAGACTTATTCATCGGCTGCGCGAGTGCGGACCGCGGTAGCATTTGAGTTTAAAAATTACATTACTACATATTCATCTACTTCGGTAGTTCGGATAGCGGTAGCACTTCATTTTAACGCTTCATTTCATACATATTTATCCACTTCGGCACTGCGGACCGCGGTAGCACTTCAGTTTAAAAATTAGTTTAATACTTATTCATCCACTGCGGGAGTGCGGACCGCGGTAGCACGTACACTGTAAGTTTAAAAATTACTTTACTACTTATTTATCCACTTCGGTTGTGCGGACCGCGTTTGCACTTGACTTTATAAATTAGTTTACTACTTATTCATCGACTTCGGTATGGCGGACAGCGGTACCACTTTATTCTTTATCTGAGCAGGTACATTTTATATGTTTGCCGACTGCGGACCACGGGACCACTCGAATTATAAAGGGCGTGAGTGGCCGGGTATTCTGAAGTTGCTCCCCACAACCTAGTGTAAATGAAAAAGTTCCTAGAATGTGCATCAGAAGATTCAAAAGAAGAGTATCACAACTGACCATATGGATCCGTTCCACGCTATTGCTGGCCTTGTTTCTTCTTTTATTACTCTTCTCGATCCAAACACTGAGGAATGAAACAAGCTATCCGCGATTTGAGCCTTGGTTTTGTAACAACTTGACAGAAGTCACTTCCAATCAAACTTGCATCAGTAATGGAACCAAAACCATTTTGTTCTACACTCCTTGGTTCAATGCGAAGCCATGGCCCAGAATCGACTCGACGGAAGAGTATCTTTCGGAATGTCCTACAAAAAAATGCCACCTAACCTATGATGTGTACGATATACGAAAAAGTGATCTCATTATCTTTCATGCCGGAGATATGCCAGCTTATGTTAAATCCAAAGAAATTCAACAGATTCACAGGTACCGGTGCCCACAGCAAAGAATGGCGTTTTTAAACCAAGAGTCCATTGTAAATGACCCGGATTTAGAGCTCCTTCTTTCCTTGCCGGAGGGATTCTTTAACTGGACAATAACTTTCAAAAGGGAGTCAGATTTTCATTTTCCTTATGCACATTATATTCCCTTGCCGTCTTCCGAGAGACCAGCAAAAATTGCTGACTATGCAGTTGGGAAAACAAAGTTAGTATCATGGGCTGTGTCACGATGTGGAAGAACACGAGATAAGTACGTAAAAACACTTCTTAAATACATCAAGGTTGATGTTTATGGCCACTGTTCGGGTATCTTTGGCCAAGACAATCGATGTCCGCGATCAAGCAATTGCGACGATCTTTTCAGCTCGTATAAATTTTACCTGGCATTTGAAAACAGCGTGTGTACTGACTACATCACCGAGAAATTTTGGCGAACACTTGGTTGGAATTCAGTGCCTATAACATTGACAAGAGATTTCTACACACCAGATATAGTCCCTCCAGGCTCGTTTATCAGTGTACAAGACTTTCCATCTGTTAAGGCTTTGGCAGAATACTTGTTATACCTAGACAAAAATGATACTGCTTATAATGAATACTTTAAGTGGAAAAAAGAATTTGCCTATAAAAGGAAATTGAGGTTTCGGTATGCAGCTTGTGATATATGTGATGCTCTTCACAATGAATGCCTCAAACCCAAATTTTATAAAGATGTATTCAAGACTTTTTGGAATGATGATGTTGACTGCAAAAAAGGAGAGGATGAACTTTTACAACTTATAGAAAAAGAGGAAGGATGATAGTGTATGTTGAAGATCTGTTGATTTTCAACTGTAACTTCCAGTACCTCCAGCTAAACCAACATAAGTGGATCACTGGTGTGAATAATTGGGAGAATTTATTTATTCAATTTATTCACAGCTATATTTAACACTGGCTGCCGCCCAGTTCAGTTGGAAGTTGGTTTGAATGGGGACCAGCTGACCTACAAACGGTACACACCTTATGCTAGGGATAATTACTGACCTAAGAATGGGGTCTATGCGCTAAAATCCATGGTAGTTTATCAATTTTCTTGTGCGGGATGTAATTCCGGTTATATTGGCAAAACTAGATGCCACTTCTCTACTAGGATAAAGGAGCACACGGAAAGCAATAAAAACTCGCATATTTTTAAGCATTTCAACACATCTCTTTCTTGTAAGAACAAATACTCCCTTTCTTGCTTTAGTATTCCGGTTTCTGCCAACAACTCAATTGATTAAAAACTCAAAGAAGCTTTTTTCTTATAAATAACATCAAACCTTAACTTAACAAACAATTACAGCATTATAACACTTCTCTAGCATTTTAGTTCACACCTTCAATTTCATGTTTGTTGTCATGCTGTAATTAGTACCCACTTTTGTATTACATCATACTGTAAATATTTTATTCATCTACTTGTCTGTTATATAATTACTCACATTCAGTTACTCATTGATTGAAGATTGCATAAGCATGCCGAAACATGTCTCTAAAAAAAAGTTGTATATTTCTTACAATATTGATCCTACTTGCTACTACTACAACCTTATGGAAATATTGAAAAGTTGAAAATTTCTCAACTTTGGCTCTGACCTTTTAGTACAGCTAAAAAATATGACACTTTTTGAGACAGTTTTTCATAGTTCTTTATTCCTTTACTTTAACAATGGTAGCCACCCTTGTGTACAATAAATATTGATAGAATTGGACCAAACTTTAATTCAAAATACAGCTTCAATGATAAAACACTTGCAACATAACTGTTATGTCTTCCTTCTTTGTACTTTGCAAGGAAGACTATGAAAATTTAAACAAAGCAAAACATACAGAATTTAATATTTTGAAGAGAATAGACAAGAAAAAGAAAATATACTCATGGTTTTATCATATGATACTTTTTATCTTTCTGGAAATAAACTGACCTAAGTATTAACAAATCTTTATCAAGCACACACTAGGGACAATAACAACTTTAAGTGTAATAAGTAATGAAAGAATTACATTTTATTTTTATTCTTATAGAAACTTATCCCTATTGTAATGATGATGTTGGAAAAGAGAACAAACGGTTTGTCTTAGACTACTATTTTGATCTAAATATTCTCATTTGTAATTGACACTTGAGTACCCATAATTTTGAAAACTATCTTAAAATTTCATGTAAAAATTTTTGCCCCTTATACAAACTCTGCAATTTATCAAAAGTTACTAGCATAGTAAAATATGTTACCCCTAATTCTGCCCTTACCATAATTACAATAATTGTATGATATTAACTTAAAAGATTTAAATTATACAGTTGTAGGTGCCACAAATGTGAGAAATTTTACTTGTAACTTAAGGCAATTTATTATAAATATATGACCACTTTGAGGTGACATCACTATCTCATTTATTAAGCAATACAATGCTGGGTGGAGGCCTTTTGGTTTGGCTAAAACACAGGAAACTAACCTACAAAATACCACTGAAGATTTGAGGTTGTGAATTTTAAAATGTTCAGTGTAGACTTGGTACCAAGAAAAGTCATCCAAACTAAGTGTTTTAATTGAGTACATCTGTGTTTTGTATCACTGAAAGTTTAAAGATTTGAAGGGGTGTGAGGAATAATGTATCAATCAGCAGCTTCCCCGTGGGGCCCACCCTCAGGGCAGCCAAGGAAACCCAGGGGTATTTGTTGAGATTATCAGATATTTTTTGCCCAAGGGTGTGGGGGAAAATATCACTTTTGTTCAGAGATTGCACCCCAGGGAGCAGACCCTGAGGATTATGCTAGTCAGTGGTACACCCTATCTACTATTCCTGGATGTTGTTTGAGATGTACACTTTGCGCCCCTCTCACACAAGATTTAGGACTTAAATTATCCTTGTCCATAAAATTCGTAACAGTTGTGCATTAATGAAACACTGGCCCTTACTGTTGCACCCAGGGGGTGGAAGATTTGTAAGAATTCCTCTGGGCTATACCTAGGGGGGACATGATGTTTGAATGGGCATTTGGACAAATCCCCCCAGGGTCCCTGGGATAGGCCCCTGGGGGAAGCAGCTGATTGATGCAAAAGGCCCTAAGTGACTCTTCAGATTCTCCTAATACAAGAAAATTTGGGAGAAGAATCTAGCAGCAAAACAGCACTTCCTTGGGGCTTTTCTCCAAGCTCCCTTTCATTTACACTGAGTCACTTCAACACCTTTATTATCAGACCAAATAACAAAAGAAAAATTGTAGCACTATGGGTTACAGTTGGAAGAACATCTTTTTCTGAAGATTCCCATGATGGATAAACAAATGGAAGCCATCCATGACAGAGCTGAAAAAACAATGTTTCACATTTTCATCAGAAAGAAGCCAAATTTCTGTCCGGAATTTCATTCATTAATTTGTTATTATTGAGAACCAACCTTGATGTGTGTTACTCTTCCAAGACATCGTAACCTGATATCTATGCTGCAAATGAAATAAACAGAAAAAATTCAAAGACAACTTTCAAACTAGCCAAGTAGATGATTAACTTGTATCAAATTGTTTATCAAGATCATAAGATAAGAAGGTAGTGGAAGGATTCTTTTTTTGGCAATCAGAGATGAAACCATATCATATCACTAATGAAGCACCTGGAATAACCCAACCCCTTTAAAAGGTCCCCCTGTCGATGACCCCATGAAAAGGTATACCCATCCACTGACTCTTTACTACAAAGTAAACAAGGAAAAGAGTGTATGAAATTTAAGTTCTTTTAGAATTGGGGGTTGAGAGTGAGGTTGTCGATAAAACATAAAACTTCTTGCTCATTTTTCTTAGCAGGAATTTGCTTACATGTCTTTTTTATCTTTCAGGAAAAAGTTGAAAAGGCCAAAGCCCTCAAATAATTGTTATAACATAACCAAAGTAAAGCGCGTGCTCTGATTGGTCAATTTAGCATCCCCCATTTGCCCATTGGTGTACGCTGCTGACGTGAGCAAATGCAAAGACTTTTTTTCCGCACGCGCTTGTTTTTTCTGATCACGTAAGATTTGTTAAATAAAAGGGAACTCTAGTTACAATGTATCAATGTTGTGTTATAAAACAAATGGTAAACACCACAGCGTACACTATTGAGTTATGGATGCACTTGGGAGGTTTGCTAAGCACTCAATAAGCTAGAGTCGCTCTCAGCTATTGCCTCGAGCGACTCTTACGCTTCTTTCGTGCTTAGCAACCTCCCGCGTGCATCCATAACTCAATAGTGTACGCTGTGATGTTTACCATTTGTTAATTGTTTCACATCTAGTTACCTCCTATGGACATTTCTNTACAATGTATCAATGTTGTGTTATAAAACAAATGGTAAACACCACAGCGTACACTATTGAGTTATGGATGCACTTGGGAGGTTTACTAAGCACTCAATAAGCTAGAGTCGCTCTCAGCTATTGCCTCGAGCGACTCTTACGCTTCTTTCGTGCTTAGCAACCTCCCGCGTGCATCCATAACTCAATAGTGTACGCTGTGATGTTTACCATTTGTTAATTGTTTCACATCTAGTTACCTCCTATGGACATTTCTAATGGTTCAATACTCAACAAACACTAATACCAACCTAAAAAGAACGTGATAGTAAGACCCTATGGCAGCCAAAGTGTGCCATATTGCATGCAGCTGTGTGAAAGGTCTAATAGGTGCAAACGTTACATTTCTTATTTCCCTGAAAAAAATTAAACAATTAAATACATTTTCAGGTATTGCTCCTGAGCAGAAATCTTCCACGTTCACACTTCACCCAACTAATCACAACAACACAGGGTTGAGGGATGTGTCAAAAGCCAGAGTCTAAAAAGAGCCAGAAAAGTTTACATGCGAAACTTAATCTCTGACCCATAGCTGCTAGAGTTCATTGTCTGATGCATAAAAGTGGCAATGACCCTTGCTCTTATTCTCAGTTGGGATATTAATTTAATAAAGTAAAGGATAAGTTTCAAGTGAAGTCTGCATTCAAAATTTTTCCGATGTATATCAGTTTCAGAAAAAATTAGTTACTCGATAATTTAAAGCTATGTCATATTTGGTTTTCTGATGAATAATTTGTGTTATATGCTTGATAAGAAGAAAAGTTAAAGGTGTTGACCAGAAGTAGGTTCTTACCTTACAGATGGACAGAAGTTATTGTCAATGTTCCAAAACATAAATCCAATAGCATAGCTAGAGGCAAAGTTAACAACAATGGTTTGTTATGCCTTCTGCCGATACTACTCTCATTGTTATCATCATCATTACCATCATCATTTTCATGCTCATAAAACTGTTTAGAACTTCACAATAAAACTCCTTACCTTGCAAGGGATATGCTCAAAAGTTTTTTTGAACCTTTGTGTTTTCTATTATATTAAATAAAAAATAACATTAAACAACATTTTGGGGAGCTGAGCTAATACAAATAGGTTAATTGACCACTCCCTATAGGGCTTTTCAGGGCCAATTAAGTTTAAGATCAGACGTCAGCATTATCAGGTGCCTCTGGCAGCCGCTTCAGTCCATGTAACGACCTCATCTTCCCACCCATCCCACCCCAGGGGAGGACATCCACCATACAGTAATCTTGTGCAGGGGAAATTAACGCCTCCTACCCCTAACCCTGCAGGAGACGGGGCCTAAGGTTTAGTTTGTCCTTATCCAAAAAGACTAGAATATCTATCAATTTTTTGATATTATAGAAAGGTAGCAAATTCTCCTTAGTTATTTTAAGACCATAAGTATTGGTCCGGCCGGGGCTGAAACCCTCGACCTCCCGCACAACACAATCCAGCTTTCTAACCAACTGAGCTAACTGGGAGGTGTGAGCTAACTGGGAGGCGTGAGCTAACTGGGAGGCGTGAGCTAACTGGGAGGC